TCATGCGCCTTGGAAGTTGGGGGCCTCCTCCCGTCGATATCAGCATCATACACACGTACTCGCGGCGCGCGCATCTGCATCACCAGCGACCGCCGCACTTCGTCGGGTGCGGACCCGCCCCGGGATGCCCCCAAGACGCTCCTTCCGACGCTTCGCGCGCAACTCTCCCCAATCGCGGCGCCTCCGTCCCGCGAGGGGCGAGCTTCGGGCGAGCGTTCCCAGCCTGGCCGCCGGGCACATCGCTCGCACGCGTCTTCGTGCGCGGAGGACCGGCGGCGGGCAGAGTTCCTCTACCGCGCCAAGACGCCCGCGAAGAGCGGGCGCCTCGGTGCTGCGGGACGCTCGAGAGTCGGGGTCGAGATCTCATCAGGAAAAAGTGCTTGGCGCGAGAGCTCCCGCCGAGACTCGGGATCACCCGCTTGTTGCCAGTGATGGCCGGGAGGGCACTCGAGCGCTCTCGCATAATCACTGATGATACCGAGGTCGTCCGAGCAGCAACGAGCGCCGTAGTGAGCTCGCGAGCTCTCTCGAGTTGCGGTGGTTACTCGCGACGCCTTGAGAGCCACAACCAGCTTCCACCGAGACCTCGCGTGCCTGACTAACCCCACGAGAGGACTGTCGAGACGGCCTCGGTGCACGGGATACCCCAGGAGTTCAGTCAGAAATTTGTCTACAGCGCATACTCATTGGTTGCACGACTGATATAACATTGACAGAAGATACATAAGTACTCGGTACATTGTAATATATTCGGTGTAACTTTTCGAGCCAGTCGAAGGCATATCAGAGGCGTGCAGGCCGCTGCTCCCCGGGCTGAGGCGCACAGCGGCGAGCTCCAGCGTGAGCTTGCCACCGCCGTGCGCGAAGAGCACCGGCAGGCCGCTGCGCTGCTCGAAACACGCTCCACGAAGCTCCGCGCTGCCCAGGTCTTCCTCATTCCCGCGGACGACGTCACAAAATATAGCGATGTCATGCGCGAGCTACAAACCTTAGGACTCCTGCGCGAAGCTGATGTGGGTCATGCCAGCAACAACACGCCGGTTGAAGTTGCGCTCCAGTGCATCATAGATGCGCATGCCTGCCGCCTGCGCTCGATGTGGGGCCGCCCGGGCGAGAAGCAGCTTGAAAAGGTCTATGCGAGTATAAAAACACCGGGTACGCACACCACTTTGTCTCTGCACCCTCCAGTCCCAGTCTTCCAATCTCTCTCCCCGCTTCCACCCATCACTGAACACGCTTGCATAACCTGAAGCGTCGCCGGCTGCTGCTCGAGGGCAAAGAGAGCGACGAGACCCGGCCGGGTTCGTGAAGGCGCTCACCACAGTCCCCTACAGTCCCCTGCGTGTGTGGGGTGGCGGACGACACGGACGCGCTCCGCTTCGAGCTTCGCGACGCGCACCGTGCGCACGCGCTCCAAACCGTGGTCCACCTCCTGTTTGAGTTCCGGCGCGCAGTAGACAAGGCGATCTTTTCGTCCGACTTCTCGGTGGTCTCTGTAGGCGGCGCACAGTCGGAACGCGTTCAACGAGGCGGGAATGGAGGATGTGTAGGAGGAAAACAAAGTCGAAACAGCGCACTCGCAGCTAGGGACTCCATGATCAATCGATCATGTGCGATACTCTCGCATGAATATGGTAGCTACTTCCCACGCACTGACCAGTCGCCCCGCGCGCGGACCTGTTGCGCTCTGCCAGCGCACCATAGACTCCATCTCTTTCTTCTTCGCCCATACGCGTGCATCTCTCCAGAGTCCACCCAGTTTGCTCGCTCCCCCTCATCCTGCGACTATTTGTGACTTTGTGAGTGAGCCATCTGACATCGTAGTTTACATACATTGTCTGACTACCATTCTCCGCTCGCGCCTGCGGCCACTGCTTTTACAGTCATGCCGCGCACTGTGCCCGCAGCTTAGGCCACATGATTTGCCTGTTCTCGGAGCCCAGTGGGTGGGGAATGTTTGGATAGGGATGATGGTACGTCAAGGCTTTGGTAAGCAGTAGGCCTAGAGCTGACGATTTTCATGTGTATTATGAGACCGCCGCACCCTGCGCTCTCATGTACGGGCGAGCTCCTCGCCGGCCTCGGCGCGCTCGCCACCGCAGACCCAGCCCTCGCCATCCAGATGCACATCTCCGAGAACGCGGCGGAGATCGCGTTCACGAAGGCGCTCTTCCCGCGCGGGAGCCTCCCTGGGTTGGGGGCGAACGCCACCACGGGCGACGGCGTGGACGAGAAGGAGGAGGAGACTACGTACGCGGGCGTGTACGATGTGTACGGGCTCCTCCCGCCCAACACTGTGCTCGCGCATGCATTGCACCTCGACGAGCGCGAGGTCACGCTCATCCACGCCCGCGACGCCGGCATCGCCCCCTGCCCGACGAGCAACTTCAACCTCCGCTCCGGCTGCGCGTGCGTCGGCATGCTCCTCGACGCTGGCGTCAAGGTTCGTCTCCCCTCTCGTTCCCGTCCCTGCCACCACTCACGCCATCGCAGGTCGGACTGGGGACGGATGTCTCGGGCGGCTTCTCGCCCTCAATGCTCGCCGTCGTCCAGCACGCGAGCATGTGCGCCAAGGTCGTCGCCGCCGCTGGCCCGCCCCCTGCGCACACGACGTTCACGGACCGACAGCTGCCGTCCCCGCGCTCCTCCACCTTGCGACGCTCCGCAGCGCCGCGGTGTGCGCGCTCGCGCAGCACGTCGGCTCGCTCGCGCCCGGCAAGGCGTTCAGCGTGGGCAACCCGGCCGTGTGGGGCGTCGCACCCCTCATGGAGCCCTGTCTTTCGATGCCAGTGCTTGTGGCTTGCCCTGCACATCATACAGCCCATTGTGTTGTGAGTACGTCCCCTTCCCCCGCGCACGTACGGTGCCCGCTGACAACCGGCTCACAGAATTTGTAAATCCCACCGGGCACTCCGCGCTCGGGCGCGTGCCTCAGTTCTCCAGCAGGACTGCGTTGTTCTCCAGCGCGGTGACAGCAAGGCCCCCGAGTCCCTCGCCACTCGGATTACCAGACACCCGTTGACCGTCCCACGCCCTCCGTTCGCGCCCGCAGAGCTCGACGCACTCGCCGCGGTGCGCCCGCCGGACGAGTGTGTGCTTGGCATGGATCGCGCGGTGCGCCCCAACGACCCCACCGTTGTCGGTTGGCGGGTGCGGTGGGTCGGCGCATGTATAATGTATTATAGATATAGAAAGCTGGACTGCCGTATTAGTACACATACTTGATCAATATATTTTCTTTCAAATGCATATCCAGCAGCGAAGAGAAATAGACCTGGGATGTGAGCAATATCGGGAGTGTGTCTCATGCTCAAGAAGCCTCTCGAGCACTCTCGAGACGAAACTCGAGGCTGCTCCGGAGTGCTCGCCGAGCAGGCGGCTGTGTCTCCCGAGCGCCCGCGAGGCGCCCTGCCAAGCTCGCGTGCCTCGAGAGAAGGGGACTTGTCTCGCCGTGCTCGAACTGCTCTCGAGCCTCGGGTGCACTCCCGAGACAGGTCGTTTTTTCCTGATGCTCTTCCCGATCTGTGCGCAGGGAGAGCCGTTTAAACGAACGAATCGGTCCGTGACGAGCGCGCCGACGTCCACCCGAGGGTCTTTGCAGGTGGGGGTGCTTCTCGGGTCGTGGAGACTCGGAGGATCGCGATCTCTGGAGCGGGCGTACTGCTGGTGACAGAATATGTTCATATGCAAGAGACATAGAACGAAACAATCTCCGCGAGAACTGCGCCATCTATCGCCGGAGGTCCGCAAGAACGAGGAGAACAACCTACAGACCGCCCACAGACCGCCCACAGATGTCGGCATCCGAACTCGCGAAGAGCTTTGAGAACAATGGCGGACGCTGAGCGCCGAAAGGCACCACCCACGTCCAGGCTGTCCTTCTGCCGTGACATCCAAACACACCTCACGCCCCCTCGCCCGCGCCAGACGCAGTTCCATGTCGGACCCCAACGACCGTTCTCGGCCGTTTGTTTCGCGGGGCGTCGATCCCCGGACGTGACACCGCGCACGGGGTGCGCTCGCGTGCCACCGAGCTTGCTGGGAACCGCGACGATGCGGTTCCATACGTCTGCGGAACCCCACGAGCGGCCCTGAGGTGTGAGGGCGCATAAACAACAAGGCAAGAAATGCGTTTTGGGCGAAGCCCGGACCGACGTGCATGCTCGCGTGCGCGTCCATTCACCTCCACGATGAAACGGACGGCCCGGCGGACGCCTGCGAACCCGAAGCCTTTACGGCGGAGATAGAAGGCGTCGCGGTCAGCCGCCGCCGCGGGATGTCTTGTGCTCAGCACTTCAGTGCGTGCCCTGTGTGGATGCCAGTCCACGTGGCCGAGACGAGGAAGGCGGCCGCTGAGCGCTGAGCGGCGGAGCGTCGGAGGGCTGAGCGGAGTGCCATACAGTCGACCCGACGCGGGCCCTGGGGCCTGAGGCCCGGGGCCTAGGTCAGCGACCGAGCAGGACGGGAGCGGTGTGGCGAGGGCCAGGACCCAGGGGGTGTTGGCGGCAGACGGGCTTGAGCTTGATTCTTGAACTCCGCCGGGGCGGCGACCGTCGGGCGCGGTGGATGGCGTGAGCGGGCGCGGGCCCCAGGGACGGGGCGACTTAATGGGACGCGGGGGGCGGCAGTGGGCACCGCGGGGGTGGAGACATGATGTGCCTCCTGCTCACACGGTGCGTGGTGCGAGGCGGTGGACGGAGAGCGGAGGCGATTGTCGATGGGGCGGGTGCTGTTCCTGGCACACACGTCCATCCACGAATCGACAATCACGGGGGCGAGGCGGTGAGGCAGATGTCGGAGGGATGTAAGTCTTGACGTTCTTGACGGGACAGAACCCACGGAGATGGTCGTGTCCTCCCGAGCAAGATCGGCTTGGAATAATCCACGATCATGTGGGAGTCTTGTCTGCGCGTGCAGTTATAAATCAGTCAGGTCTATGATAACAGCAGCCGTCAAGAGATGCGAAATAAATGCATATTCACGTGGTATGCGAGAGTGGTGGTTCGCTTGCGAAACTCTTGCTCGCCTGCACGGCTCTCTTTTGAGCACGTATATTTCCTGCGCGACGTGCCCATGAGCTCGTGAACCCTTCAAAAGGGCTAGGCTCCTACCGTGCGCGAAACCCAGTCCAAACAAGACTCGACGGCGCACCTTAGGGGTCCAGAAAATTCACCGATCCCGACCGGCGACCCAAGCGACACAGCGCGGACCCGCCCGAGCCCTTGATGAAAGGCGACACAGAGCGGCGTCGACGGGCGGCGGCGAGGAATGGTGGAGGCGGCGCGGGCGAACATGAGCAAGAGGCGGCGGCGTCCGGCGTCTTGACTTGGTCCGGCGAGGCGCGGGTGTGGGGGCTTCGCCCGAGCTTGCGTCGGGAGTGCGCGCACTGCGAGGAGGGGCGCACGTCAGGAGAAAATTGAGTGACGATCCGGACATGCGGGGATGGCGAGATGGCGGGCATCGGCGAGGTCCACTGGCCATTGCCAGCCCTGCGCCCTGCCCTCTCGAGTTATCTTCAGCAGTCAATCGAATACAGCGACCCTGGTTCCACCATCTTCAATCTCACAGCGCACCTCGTGGATCGTTTTGTGCCGTGACCTCTGAGCCTGCTCGGCGTCTGCGGAGGGCGAGTGAGGCGAGCGTAAATCAGACCACGCACTACATGTCCCGGATCGTGTACGGCTGCAACGTGAGACTCGCAGCGACGCCGGGCGACTCCGCAACTCTATCTCGTCGTGCGGTGCCAGCATCTTCGCCCAGGGAACTCCGCGAGGGAGATGGACGCTCGCGCGGCGTCGGCGACTGTGGCTCGGCTTCTTTGCCGCCGCAGGTGCCCCATCGAGTGTGCGTGGGGGTCGGGAGGGAAGGAGGATACCGGGATCGGGTGCGAGCGGCCGCGCACGAAGGTTTGGTGTGCCGTTGGGCGATGCTTGCCCGCGCCGCGATGCCGCGAAGGGCGCGCCCCTGGATATGGGGGTAGTGAGCCGCGTGTCGGAGGAATGCCCGAGAGAGCTCGTAACGGCCGTGTGAGTGCGTTCGACGAACATCATAGGAGAGAAGGAGTCGTAAGACACACATGAGGGCTATCGGGGTGTGGGGGTGTCGACGTGGTTGGTCCGAGCCGTTCGGGGTGGACGAGGACGTGAGTTTGCGGCACTGCCCACTACAGAAAACGCTGACGCGTCGCGCGCCAGCCTCGGCATGGTGACCGGGAAGTACGGACGGAGGTAAAGCTTGAGCGGATGATCATGCCGCATGTCATGCCATGAGCCACAAGGACAGCTTGCGGGTGGAAGAAAATGAGGGTGGAAACAGGCGGTGGCAGGGAAGCCTCGAAGAACACCACACGGGCGGCCCCGGTGGACCACTGGAGAGCCTCGTCTGAGCGGATCCGTTGCTGTGGACGTTTCCAGGTGAGTCAGAACCTGTGTCGTGGCCTTAGTTGAGCAGGCCCATTTGAAAATGCACCCGCTCACAAAGTCTAGTTCGGGCGCTAGAGTCTGGATCGAAGTTCGAAGTTCGAACCAGTTCTCCTCGCCCAACTGGGGCGCTACGCCCTCTGCCCAATGATCGTCGTGGAACATCCGCTTCATGATAGTAGTCATCAGAAAGTGCTGTTGAAGTTCGGCGCTAGAGGAGCAACCTCGGGCCGCTCGCTTAGGTAATTGTGTAGCTGTTGCACTCGCCACCGCCTGTATTGCGTTTGCTCCTATCCACCACCACCTCCCGCGCATCCGCGGTCCGTCCGCCTGTTCCCGGTGCCCAGAGGAGCCTAAGCGCGACGCCCTCACCCTCCGACCTGTCCCGATCGCGTCCTATGATCCCGAAATCCTACAAGTGCAGCTTGAAGACTACTGAGAGACATACAGCGATGGATCAAGGACACCAGTGGCAAAGTGGTGGTTGAAGGGCCCTCAGTGCAGTCCGCGTCCGACTGTCACGCGATCAGCCTCAAGGTCCCCACATGTACTGTACCCGGCCTGTGCATAGACCCTAACCTCACAGATATCTCCCTGTCCAGCACTAGTCGAGCCGCTCTCTCTCTACGACACCTTTTGCTCGTACCGGTATGCAATGTTGAATCACACGCACGTTGTCGTGGCTCTGATTCGCATCTTTTCAGCACGTCTACACAACGTCTGGTGGCGACTCGGCTACATCAGATCCATTCCTTGTTGCCGTACTGCGACACGAAAGAGCCGCTCTGCTCTGGCCCGCTTCGGTTCAGCACGTCCAGCACCATCGACACGGCATCTGCTGGCGTCCGCGGGTTCTCGTCGAAGTCCGGCGCAACCCTTTTGAACGTGGCTGCCACCTGCTTGACGGGCTCAGGGATGCTCGCGAAGTCGTCTGGGCATCACCCGTACTGAATCAGCCCCCCGTCTCCCGTCGAACAGAGCGAAGCGGCACGTACTGGGGTCCTCGGTGAAGGTGTTCACGTACCCGGGGCTGATCGAGAGCACGGTGAAGCCTTCGGGCTTGAGCGTGACGGAGAACTGGGTGGCGACCATGTTCAGCGCCGCCTTGGAGGCGGTGTACGCCGTGTTCGTGCCCACTTCGGTCCCGCGCACAAAGTCGATGTCGCCCACGCAGGAGGAGATCGCGAGGATCTGCTTCGTCGCACCCGCGCGGAGCAGAGGCAGGAAGCGTTGATGGCGTGCGCGGAGCCGACGGTGTTGCTGCGGGACTGGGGTGAGGCGTCAGACTCGATGGACGGCCGACTACTCGGCGAGCGGAGAGGGGGCGTACGCCGGCCACGAGTTCCTCTTCGAGGCTTTGGGGGTCTGGGCTGTTGGTGGACCATGGTGAACGTGCTTACTGCTGCGCGCCGTCACTGTCTCGACATGCGACTCACAACTTGTCCAGGGTCACACCGAAGTGTCATTTTCTGTGAGTGCTGCGAACACGACGAATGCGTTGGTCACTGCTAGCATGCTCGCCTTGAGAGAATCCACGCTGTCGAAGTCGCCCTTGACCGTGAACACGTTCGATCGCGTCGATGCGAGCGAATGCAGTTGGGCCGCAGACTCCGGGGTGCGAACGACAGCGAATACCTTATTGTCGGCGTTCTTGCTCCGCAGGTGAACGGAATTGAACATCCTGGGCTCATATGATATTACCTTTTGATCGGGACGAAATGCGGAATCAGAACTGCAGGCACCCAGCCGGACGAAAAGCATGTTTTGTACTAATTTTCGTCTGCATTTCCTCC